TACATATTTGGTGAAATGCCTTAAAACAACATTACTTTTTAATAAACAACTTTTTTTTAAACTTTAAACCTGAGAAGCAACAGGCAGTTTTCTACATTTCCTGATATGATAACATGGTATATGATATAGGGATGATATCATACCTATAGTCTGCTGCAGGCTGAAAAGTAGCCTGTGCCTCAGGTACTGTTTTATGCCTTTGCTTTTGTTACTACATCCCTGTAAGTCTTCAAAAGGGAAATGAAATTATCCTATCCAGAAGAAACACCGTCCAGAAGACACTTGAGTTGTTAGGGCCTGAATTCTCAATGAAACCAAAGGCAGGGATCTTACTGACCTGAAGAAAGAGGCTTTAATCTCTCCTGGCTTGTTTACTCCTGTAGGAGCGTGAAAGAGACGTGTGTCCTTGTATGTGAAGAGGAGGTGAAGGAACAGCTAGTGCAAGGAACACACAAATCCATTGCACCAGACTAACTGGTGGTTAGCTCTGAGCTGGGAGACTGCAACAGAAACACAGAATTATCTGGGTTGGAAGAGACCTCCACGATCACTGAGTCCAACCTCTGACCTAACACTAACCAGTCCTCCACTAAACCATATCACTGAGCTCTACATCTAAACGTCTTTTAAAGCCTTCCAGGGATGGTGACTCAACCACTTCCCTGGGCAGCCCATTCCAATGCCTAACAACCCTTTCAGTAAAGAAGTTCTTCCTAATATCCAACCTAAACCTCCCCTGGCACAACTTTAGGCCATTTCTCCTCATCCTGTCACTAGGCACATGGGAAAATAGACCAACCCCCACCTCGCTACAGCTTCCTTTTTGTGTACCTGTAGAGTGTAATAAGGTCACCCCTGAGCCTCCTCTTCTCCAGGCTGAACAAGCCCAGCTCCCTCAGCCGCTCCTCGTAGGACTTGTTCTCCAGGCCCCTCACCAGCTTTGTTGCCCTTCTCTGGACCCGCTCAAGCACCTCGATGTCCTTCTTGTAGCGAGGGGCCCAAAACTGAACACAGTACTCGAGGTGCGGCCTCACCAGAGCCGAGTACAGGGGGACGATCACCTCCCTAGCCCTGCTGGCCACGCTGCTTCTTATGCAAGCCAGGATGTTGTTGGCCTTCTTGGCCACCTGAGCACACTGCTGGCTCATATTCAGCCGACTGTCCACCAATACTCCCAGGTCCTTCTCTGCCTGGCAGCTTTCCAACCACTCAGCCATCTTCAAATTTCCAGATCTAGAGGAACACGCTGGCTGCAGCCTAAAAGCCACATGTACAGAAGCTCCCCCAACAAAGCCAGCCAATCTTCTCCCCGCGACCTGCCAGAAAACAGCTGTCCTGGTTTCAGCTAGGGTAGAGTTATTTTTCCTCCTAGGAGCTGGTAGGGTGCTATGTTGTGGATTAGGATGAACACGCTGATGTTTGAATTGTTGCAGAGCCGTGCTTACATTAACGCTTCAGCTTCTCGCTCTGTCCTACCAGCAGGCAGACTGGGGGTGCAGCAGGAACTGGGAGGGGACAGACCCAGGACAGCTGACCCAAAGTGGCCAAAGGGGCATTTCGTACAGTATGGGGTCATGCTGAGCAATATATAGGCGTGCCTAGCCGAGATGGGGGGGCTGGCTTCTCGGGGTTAGGCTGGGTATCGGTCAGTGGGTGGTGAGCAATTGCATTGTGCATCACTTATTCCGTACACATTAGTAGTAGCAGTACTATTCTCGTTATTATTATTGTTTGTTTGTGTTTTTTTTTTTTTTTGTTTTTTTTTTTTTCCTGTCTTAATAAACTGTCTCTGTCTCGACCCACAGGCTTCATTTTCCTATTTCTCTCCCCCATCCTAGAGAGGGAGGGGGGAGGGCGAGCGAACGGCTGTGTGGTGCTTAGCTGCGGGCTGGGGGAAACCACGAGGACAGCAATGTAGTCATGTAACCAAATTAAAGCCAAAACTTTCAGCCCGGTCCTTGACCTGAATAGGGAGTGAGGATCCGGATCCTGGCATTTATACGTGAGAGTTTATATGCAGCCAAAGTAAATACTGCAGTCGGAGGTCATGGTGCTAGATTTTGACAAGTCCGGCATAAAGAAGAGATCTCAGAAAAGCAAATTTAAGCAACATTAATGTCAAGTAAAGTCTTTCTGATTGCTATATTCTTATCTGTCATGACTAGAGAGATGAAAATCTATGATGGCAATTTTGCCTTTTAGGTCATTTTCTTTTTTCTTTTATTTATTTCTTTTATTTATGTTGATTTATCTTACTTTAACAGGCTCTGTACTAATTTTCCTCACAGAATGACTAGCAGCAATATGACCCTTACATGCTTTTTGTATTTAATTCATTAGGTCAACTCTAACCACTAAGCCCCTTGTCAGGTTATTTCTATTAGCAATAAGGAGCAATTGAACCTTAAACATTGAAACCTAGGCTGATGAGCCTATTCCACAAGGTCTCATGACTCCACATATGTGAAGTGAAATCTGCCAGGTGGGGATCATTTGACCTTTACTATATAGGAAGCATGAGGAGTTACAGGAGGAATTGCCACTCCAGGGCAGTTTGAGGTTGAGGTTTTGTAGGGTGTTTTTCTACTGTCCTGGCGAAATGGACTCAGTGTTCCAGAGTAGGCTGCTTTTTCTTCATGTTTTCTACCATCTCTGTGAAATAGTTTTGGAGACTCTGTGAGCTAGAACATGGGCGGTGAGTACACAGAACAGGAAAACCCTGGTGGTGCTACTTCCCCGTGAAGATGTTTGGAAGCCGGCAGGTAAGTGGTCCGGAGTTAAAAATTTGATTTGGCTTGGGGAGCTTGAGGACTTGGTCCCCAGTCCATGCTACTTCAGGTTGACACACTTATTTATTTATTTAGCTATAGACGTGGCTCTTTGAAATTTGACTATTTATGAGAAAAAACTTGTCTCTCTCTTGCAGAATCCCCATATACCCTCAGTTAAATGAGTTGTGTTATCTTTCTAATATCTCCACAGAGTACATCTTCTCTTCTTAGTCAAGAAGGAGCAAGTCTAGATAGATAACAGGTCTGTTTACATGTGGTAGGGAATTCTGCACACTGTTGAAGAACCTTAGCCAGCTCTGTTCAGCTGGAATCACCCACGTAAGATACAAAATGGACAGTTTGGGCTTTGTCTCCTTATGTCCACCATGTGACAGACTCCTCCAGATGAGTTTTTCACCTAATTACTGCTTTGGAAATGGAGACCTCTTCTGCCTCTGACAGTACTTTCCATGGTTGCTTTTCCTTTGCCTCAGCAGTGGATGATCAGATAAATGAAAGCAGACTTGTTTGCAAATGGGGAGATTAAAGGCTGGCATTGTAAATATATCTGGGCTTCTCTAAATGTGCTGGGAAAACTGGGTGCATCTCATCATGCTGTTATCTTCAGTCCCTATTTACCTGCCCCTAAATTACATGTAAAACTTGTTTATGCTTTTCAGGTAGGTTTTGTTGCCGAAATCTACTTGCCCAGCCAGTTTCCCATAGGTATCAATGTGGAGAGGATAAAAACAAACAAAAAAAGCCAATCCTAACCTCTATAGCATGAAAGGGGAGAGGTTTCATGGAAAAGTGAAGACCACAAGAGGAATAAGTTTTTTTGTGCTAGTCTGGAATCCAGAATTTTGACCTACAAAAAACTGCTAAACACAAGGTTTGGCTTTGTTCTGATAAAGGCTTAACCCCCAGCCTGCCCCAGCTCCATGCCATTCCCTCGGGTCCTGTCGCTGTCCCCAGAGAGCAGAGCTCAGCGCCTGCCCCTCCGCTCCCCTCGTGAGGGAGCTGCAGGCCGCCATGAGGCCTCCCCACAGCCTGCTCTGCTCGGGGCTGAGCAAACCAAGGGGCCTCAGCTGCTCCTTGAGTCTTGCCCTCTAGACCCTTCACCATCCTCATGGCCATCCTTCTTTGGACACACTCTAATGGTTTTATGTCCTTTTTATACTCTAGTCACCAAAAGTGTGCACAGTGCTCAAGATGAGACCACACCAGAGCAGAACAACCTCTTCCCTTGACTGGCTAGCAATGTCATGCTTAATGCACCCCAGGATATGCTTGGGCCTTTTGGCTGTATAGACTTGTGTCTGTGGCAGAAAAGTTTTCCATTTTTTCCTCTAAGTTTCAGTATTTGTCCTTCTATCTCTCACACACCCTTGTGCTTGGCCATATGACTGCTTTCTGTTCCCCAGACTTTAGATTCAGAGCAAGCTGCTTATGGTGGTGGTGGGAAGGGCTGGAGCGCAGCATGGGTTTGGATGCTGATAGTTGGGTGAGAGCCTTGCAGGGGAAGCTGGAGCCCTGCGGCAGGTGGGGATGCACCAGGGGTGGATCCAAACAGTCAGCAGCTCTGTGAGCTGAGGGCTGTCTGACACCTCCAATTCAACTTTGCATGGCAGAAAGAGACCACCTGCAGGCCAGCGCTTTCTCTCAAAGGTAGGTAACTATAACTTTGTATTCGGGGCCCTAAGCAGGGAACTTTCTTCAGAAACGGATGAAAACCAAAGGCAGGGATGTGTTACTCATCTTAAGTGCACGAGTCTTGTCATTCAGGCAATGTGTATCCAATATGTGATGTCCATCCCTCTGAAGTGCAGTGAATGGATACAGTCTTTATGCATATTTATGAATTATTTAAAATATTTCAACCAAAGTTTATTTAAGGATTTAGGCACGTGGAGTGTGGAATTAATGGCTGGATTAATGGTTTATATCCAAAACTGATTTTCAGAACTGATTCCGCTGAAGCTAAAAGCTATGAAACCATCACTTCTAAATGTTCAGGTTTCTCTAGTACAAAAAATGCGAAGCCATCACTGCCTTTTAAGCCATGTCAAGGCATGTGCTGCACTTTTATTGGAAGGCTGTTTGGACATACAAGAAGCCTCTCCTCCACTTGAAGATTCTGTAACAGAGCAAAAAATACTTATCTGTAGGGAAAACATTTTAAGTCCAGACTATAAATCCTGGTGGAACAAGTAGGGGCCCGTTTTCCACAGAAATTGTAATTAAGATTATAGCACCTCATCCAAAGATCTTAATCCGCTTGTCAAGGATCCACTTCACTTGTTAGCAGGCTCAGAGCCTACGTGCAGGCATTTAATAAGGTGTCTAGATATGAATTAGTTTTCTAACCAACGGCACCAGTCTTGTAATTATCTGTCCCTGCTTTTGTTGAGATGATATCTCATCTTTCACAAAAACGGGCCGTCGATGGCATGATTTGCATAACACATCACTGGTACAGAGGCTCAACTTAATGTGCACGTCTGCTCTGGGCTCTAGCAGCATTTATTTTACCCTTAATATAAACAGGGGCGCTTTGATAGAAGAGATGTGCTGTAAAATACCTCACGCTCCTCCTCAAGGATGTTACAGACACACAGACCTTCCAACAGTAACATCTGCTGCCGTGAGATGCAAGATGTGTTTGCATGCACATATGCATATACATGTGCAAGTATATTCATACGTGTATGAACAGTTCTTGTATTTTTACATATTTTACAAGCTATTTTAGAGTGAATCCTATTTGTTAACAAAAGAACCCCTCTGCTTGCTTTGGCATTCTCACAGTTTGCCTTCAAAGACAGGATGGCTGCAATGGAAAAACACTCACAGGCTTTCTTCAAAGCCTGCTGATTCTGGGACACCGAGCTGGGACATGGACATCAGCAAAGTGCCACAAGTACTCCGGCCTCGAAGGCATGGTGTGGAAGAGGGGGCATGGTGCACAGCCACCTCAGCTACTTGTCTCCTGCCTCTGCCAACTCCCATGCCCCACAGAATTACTTCCTGGAAGACAGTGGCATTTAGGCAGCTCTTCCAGAGCTGCCTAAACACGTTCTGCATGGTTAGCATCAACCTAATGCCACAAACTTGTAAAGCCAGCCTCTAGCTGCTGCATAGCTGCTGTCTGGGTATGAGTTATCTACAGGGTAAGAGCCTCACCTGCATGGAGGGCATTAATCACCCTCAGGGGAATGCTGCTGTGGTTTGGCTGAGCAAAGCTGTCCGAAGGATATCGAGACTGGAATAACCTCTTGCCATCACTTCAGCATGATTATTATCTGAAAATACTTCTGCATAACTGTTAAAAAGTTTACAGATTTTGCTCTTGGAAAAAATAGTCTCCTATCCCTGCATACAATGCACTGAAGTGGAAAAGATGCTTGACCATGGACTTGTTTGTTCTTCCCCAGGCTGTCATTTAAACTCTGCATACTCAGAGATCTGTGTACAAAGTGCTTGCTGAACTGGCTGCCAAATGATGAGAACACGGTGTTTCAGAGTGTCTTGAACCTTGGTGGCCCTGTTCCTGGGAGGTGCTAAGCATCGTTGCTTCACATGGAGTACAGTCTGTAGCCATCATGAAGCACTGTGTGACCTCTTGCCTGGGTACGAAGGTTTTTCCTAAATTAGCCTCCTTCCACAGCCATACCCAGGTGGGATTATCAATGTTCAGGTAACAACTGTTTATTCAGTGCCTCAGGATTCTTTACTTCCCTACCAGTGCAATCTCATTCCCCTGTCTGACAGCTTTTTGCAGTGGGAAGCACTGCTTTAATTCTGGTCTCAGATTTTGGCATCAGTCAGGATCATCTCCAAAGATGATGGCAGGGAAATTCTCCTCAAACTGCAGCATGAAGTGGGTAGGAGTGAGGAGGTGGAAGGGCTTGCTGCTGCCACACAGGGAGCAGACACAGAAATCCTAGAAAGGGAGAGAGATTTGGGGGAGTTGTGTGGAGGGGCCTCTCCGTTCCACATTTACACTACTAGGAGACAAGGATAATTTCAGTTTTATGGAGGCGGTGTATTGAGAAATAACAGTAGGCTGCAATAATAACCAGGTACCACTGATTATGACTTTACAATATCTTCCCACTTCTCCTGAAATACACCTTCAAGAAATGAAAAAGAGCTGGCTGGAGCTAGAGGTAATTGCTTAGAGAGTGACAGGTAGTCCTGAAAACCATCATATAATTTCTCTGCCAATGAAGTATTCCTCCCCACAGCATATTTCTTATGTATTTGCTCACTCAAACTTACTACTGTTATTAGTTAAGATACTTTTTAATTAAGGTAACAATTAAGGCATGCTAGTTTTGCTTAAATGCCACTGAAATTAAGTTACTCTTATTTGCATCAACTCTTCATTAACAAGCGAGGCTGCTGTCCTAATGTAGTAAGAGAAACTCAGCAGGAGACCATCTCTGCCCTGGATAGCTTAATTTTTCAAAGGACAAGAGAAACAAAGGCATCGGTGCTTCTTTTCTTTATCCTGCTCTTTTAGTTCTTCTCTTAATTTCCTGTAACTGATTTCCTCCTGCTTAAACACGTACTGTATTCCAAGGAGGAGGTATCCTTGTCAACATTTAGCCAAACTATTTGAGTAGAGTTCTTCACCTGTCCTTATAAGTTAGCCTTTCCTGCAGTTAATCAGCTACCATCACAGTGTTTTTATGAAGGAGATAAAACTGCCCGTATGTAGAAAGGCTTCTAAGCAATGTTGTCAATGTTTATGATCCTCCATAAATGGGATAACAACCATCAAACAGTAACTCTCTTACGCTCTGGACTCTAAACCTTGTTCCAAGTTATAGGGTATAATATTATTTCATTGCTAATTGCTACTTATAAGTTACAGAGTAATAATCACTCTTTCTCCCACCTCACCCCCCAGCAATCATATTGTTTTTTGGCAGTATAAAGTGATAAATAGGCAGTTAAATGACTACAAATGTAGTTGACCTATTTCTAATCTTACACCTAGTATTGTAAGTCAGGAGTAACTCCAGTGAGAAACAGTTGTAAAGTGAAGGAAGGAAAGTATTTATGTAAAAATAGAAACATTTTAAATAAATGCAAATAAACTCTTAATTTTCCCCCCAACTTTTGTACTTCATTTGCAAATGAGCTTTATATTAATTTATATTAATGAACGGCAGAACAAATACTTAAATGAAAAGGTCTTTGTAATGCTCTGAGATAGGACCTCACTTGCAAGACTGATGGTTGTTAGTACAAAATGTTAGTACTGAATCTGACTATGGGAACAGCAGTGCTTTCAAAGTGGATGGAGAACCATAAGGATAATGCATAAAATGAGAGATTTGCTACGAGTTCAGAGGACTTCTTGTATGGAAGATATGGCAGCAAAAAGATGAAACTATCCACATCTAAGTGAGTACAACGCCAAGCAAGTCAGAATATAGTAAATATTCTTCATGTGTAGTGTGGCTTTCCTTTTGGTACTCACTGTGTTTTAAGGGTGTTAAGAACCAGACTAGTAGCTCAGCTTTGCATGCTAGCACATGTAACTACAGTACCTCCTGTTATTCTTTCATATGAACCTTTTTTCTATGAAAAGAGCAAGGATCTTCTTAAACCAGTGTTAATCTGACTGCAAACCAATGAGCAGACAAGCCCAAAAAAAATTTCTTAGAAAAATAGTGAATTACTTCTCCTCAGTGGCCAAAGAGTGAAATATCACTGCCTGGGATAAATTTTTCCCCTTAATAAAATTTTTTCCTTTCCATTTTCCAAATAAAGGCAACAAACAAAATCCATCTTCTCTAAAATGCCTCTGTAAAGCAGCAATACTTACCAGCATTGCCTAAATGTTTTCTGATGCTGAGGTTACTGCTAGGATCCAGCACTTCCAGAGACCGGCCAGAGAGGAAAGGAAGAGGAAAGGGAACGGGAAAAGCCCTACCGAGTTGGTGTGGTAGTGATTTGGATATCCTGCTTGGATTATTATATGATAGAGAAGCAGAATTAAACATCTAAACCAAGAGTTAATCTTTAACTCTCAAGTAACCCTTCATAATTGCAGAACACATCGGTGAACGGACATAAAATATCCCTGTTCTGCAGGTGGCAGAGGAGACCTTTCTCATCACCAGCCATAGCAGCAGCTGCGAAACAAGGGCATACAAAGAGGTGAGGATTTTCTTCTTTAATATCATCCACAATACAGTAAAGCAGTGCTGATAGACAGGGTCTTGATTTTTGTTCTCTAAGGGGTCAACTTGATCAGGAAGTGCTGGGTCTGTCATTGCCATTCTCTGAAACACCCTGGAGGGGTTTCCTCATCTGCTAGCAATGCCAGGTTTTACCTGTGCTCTCCACCAAACCCAATCCTTGCTGTCACACAGCTTGCTGGGCATGATGCTATTTAACCACCTCCAAATGTGGGCAAGTTTTGTGCCTGTGTCTGGACCTCTGCAGCTTGTGGTCATTACAGCTCCAGCGACTGCACGTGATCAGGGCTTGGCTCGAGAGCTGCTGCCTCGATTCGCCACCTCGCAGAGCCTCACACCCTTAGCTAGAGAGGCAACAGAGGCTCGATTGCCTGCTTCCACCAAAGGTAGGCCACTTATCAGTGCTAAACGTTGAACGTTGTTAAAGGAAGTTAAATAAAAACCCAGGTATCTCAGTTATCTTCCCCGATGGCGAATCAGCTAGCTCCTACCACTGTGTGCATTTTTATTTCTTTTCATGTCAATTGTTCTTTTATACTTTTGGCTGACTAGGTGATTTCTGACTTTATTTTCCTGTGGGTTGGTTGCAAAATGTTCAGTGTTCATTAGCAATCCCTCCCCACGCCCCAATCAAATGCTGTATCTCAGCATCTCAGGGAGCACTGCAACCTGAGACATATACGTGCCAGGAAGGGGGAGGAGGGCAGTACAACACATTCAGGAGCTGCTTCTTGAATCTTTGTAAGCTTAGCTGATAGTATATCACAGATTCATTATGGTTTAAAAAAAAAAAAATCAACCTAAATTTCTTATTAAATCATCCCCTAAGGACGCTAAGTTTTCTTTTATCGGTACTTGTGAGATGGAAGGAAGTGAGACACAAAATGTTCTTATTGCAAAGGAATGAAGGAAGAGAAACTGTGCGACTGTCAGACATTATTTCTAAAAATAGTCATATTACTTTTTTTCCATAAGGCAGCAACTGCAATTTTAGAATGAGATCAAATCAAATACACTCGAAATTGAACACTGAAGTCTTTGTTTGATGTTTTTCTTTTGCAGGCTTTATCATCCTTTCACATTGTTTTTCCCCTCCTTGCAACTCTGAGCTATTTTAGCCTTGCCTGAAATCTTTCTACTCCTTTATCAGACTATGTTCCTTACACAGACTTTTCCCTATACTGTCTAAATGCTTTCCATCAGCGTTGTTTGTGCATGAGCAATGCATTGACGTGCTGCTTCCTTCCCTCCACGAACTACAGCACAGCATAGCTGTTACCTAATTTCTTGTTTGACTTGTGTTTGGTATGCTCTGCTACTTCAGAGGACTCTGTAAGTATCTCCTCGCACTCATTTGCTGAACTTTGCCACTGTTCATGCTTATCTGTGTTATGAAAGCAACCATTTTTGTGTTTTCTATAAACTTTTATTGAAGTCTGTCTCTGGAAAATCTCAAATAATTATTTCATTTATTCCTAGGATGTTTTGCTTTCTTGAAGGTTTCTTTCTTTTTTTCTTTTTCCTTCCACAGTGTTTAATTTTCCTTCTTTCATTTTCTTAAGCAGTTAAAAGCTAATGAAACATGACTTGAAGACATATGCCTCTTGTCTGCATCCTTCCAGGTCATTTGCATGTAACATAAGCAGAGGAGGATACCATCACCATAGCACTTTTCCCCAAGTAACAGCAACTTTTTGTGACTATGACCTTCATGTAATATTAAAAGAACTATATTCCATCAAGTCACTCTAAGTTGCAAACTATGTACTCATTTTTAGAAAGAAAATGCATGGAATTCAGAAAAATTGAATATTTGAAGAAAAAGAGGGAAAATCATGTATGATGAAGAAACCAAAGTTCATACATTGTATTAGCTTGGCTACTTTAACAACCATTAATGTGTTCAGCTCTGGGGCCCTTGGCGCAAGAAGGACATGGACCTATTAGAGCAAGTCCAGAGGAGGGCCGCAAAGGTGATCAGAGGGCTGGAGCACCTCTGCTGTGAAGACAGGCTGTGACCCATCCTTTTTTCCCCATGTGGGGACCAGCTCCCTGAGGAGCTCTGAGCAGGAAGCTGTGATGTCTTCAATAAAGATCAGCATAAAGACAACCTTTTTTCTCCTCAGACCTGCTCATGGTTAAAATGAAGTTGTACTTATTATTATAATCACTTATTATGTACTTATTATCACTTTCTCCCCAGAAAGCCTTAGCATTTAAATAATCACAGAACGGCTCTGGTTGGAAGGGGCCTTAAAGACCATCCTGTTCCAGTCCCCTGCCATGGGCAGGGATGCCACCCACTAGACCGGGTTGCCCAGGGCCTCATCCAACCTTGCCTCGAGCACCACCAGGGATGGGGCATCCACAGCTTCTCTGGGCAGCCTCAGAGGCCTCACCACCCTCAGAGTGAAGGATTTCCTCCTAACCTCCAATCTAAATTTGTCCTCTTTTACATGTAGTTTAAAACTATTCTTGTGCTGGGGGCCCCAGACCTGGACACAGGACTCCAAGTGAGGCCACGCAATGGCAGAGCAGAGGGGGACAATCACCTCCCTCCACCTGCTATTGATGTAGCCCAGGATGCAGTTGGCCTTCTGGGCTGCAAGCATGCACTGCTGGCTCGTGTTGACCTTTTCATCCACCACAACCCCCAAGTCCTCCTCTGCAGGGCTGCCCTCAATGAGTTCTTCTTCCAGACTGTGCCTATGTCCAGGATTGCCCCAACCCAGGTGGAGCACCTTGCACTTGAACTTCTTGAACCTCGTTAGGTTCATGTGGGCCCACTTCTCAGCTTGTCAAGGATGGCATCCCTTCCTTCTTTAGTATCAACCACACCACTCAGCTTGGTGTAATGTAATGTTTCAGTGCTTAATATCTCTATCCTAAAAATCCCCTGGGTTTGGATTTGTTTTGCCTCAATCAACAAATCATCTCTGTATCTGTGCTTTGATGCTTTGCTCTGCTGTGAAACTGGTATTTGGTCTCTTGTAACACCAGTCCTTCCAGCATCAGGAGCTGGACTCTGGTGATCAGATCTAGTGCACTGGGGCTTCACAGAGTGAGCTGTGTCACAGGCAGGATAGATGTAACCTTGCTTGCAATGAAAGGTTGGAAAATGAGGCCTACGCTTCATGCAGACTAGGATCTCTATAATCGCCCCTCAACTTCTAGATCTGTCCTTCACCAAGTTCCCAGAATGTGTGATGGAGGCAGTGTTTTGTAGAGTGTCCACAAAGCTGGTTTTTTCTCGTTTGTCTCTATAGCAAAACTGATCTGCAGTTTTTACAGGTAATTGTGCTTTGACAGGAGGACAAACACCTTACTGTTTAAAAACAGGTCTTGCAGGCTTTTAGGTCAACAGTGGAGTCACAAAAGCAGTTTTTTGCTTAGAGATTTGCTGGCTCTAGTTTGATTTTAAAGATCAAACCTCCAGACTCTCTGGAGTAACTGAGGTGTAGGAGATGAACTACCTGACTGGGTTAAAAGACCGTGCTTACCCTTGAATTTTCTTTATTATTATTTTTTTAATGATTATTTTTGCATGTTTCAAGTACCATTGCAGTAGAAGTGGCTGTGTCCATTGCTGGAAGGACACCGTGTCACTGGGTGCTAGAGCGCCTTGCCCATCTGCTTGTTTCCCAGGCGGAATAACCCCAGTTCTTCTTTCCACTCCCCTCCTCTCCTTACTTCCTCTCCCTCCTCTTGTTCATAACATGGGTTTTCCATCTTCTTTCTCTGTCAGTGAAATGCAATTGAAATTATTATTATTGCTACAGACTATTATCTTAACAGTGCATCAGAATTAAGGAGTTAGGTATGGACCTGCAACTGCATGTTTCATCCCCAGCATAGAGTATTTTTCAAGTCAACATGTTAGGTCTTGACCTTGGGACCCATCGCATTGCACAGCCCAATACAGCAGCTATTCTGAATTTAGCCCCACCCTCTACGTGTTACTTGGCTAACACTGATTCAGGAACTACAGCAGGCACTTCAGGGAGATAAGAAAGGAAAACTGCAGAAAGGAAGAAAAGCACCAAAATACTATGGTTTTTAAATCTTCACCCATCTTGTGAAAAACAAGGCACAGAGAGGTTTGTAAGTACTAAATGACTTCTGCACTCATCGAGTGTTTCAGTATTGCTGCTGTTCTTATTCAACTGCAGAAGCTATTTGCTGGAGCTACTCTCCTGCACTGGGATTGCTATCCCTTATTCATGTGAAACACACAACGTGTGTCAGGGAATCCATTTTTCTCTCTCTTTCTGGAGAAGAGGAAGAAAGATGAGTCCCCTGGGCAGATGGTGTGTGTTGGTGTTTGCAAGTCTTCCCCTGCAGCCGCCTTTGCAGAATGCGCAGTGTGAGGTTTGTGCATTGAGAAATGATGCAGCAAGAATTTCTTTGGAAAACACTTCCCTTTATTTCCTTATAAAGCAGAAATTGTAAAGCTATTTACTCCTTGGTCATTTTTTTCCCCACATTTTTTCTTTCAGAAAATTAGTTATGAATTGATTTCAGACTTTATGTGATGAAATGTCTCAGACATCCTCTCTCATGGCCTGAAGGAATTAAATGAGACTTAAATAAGGCTCAGTGTTTTGCAGTTGTCTATGGTTCTCAGCAATGAACAGACATGCATATTGCAGGGTGTCTCTGATGTTGAATTTTATCTTTAACTTTCAGATACTGTCCACCTCACCCTCGAGCTGCCCTTCAAGGAAGGAATGTCCTCCTCATCCTCTTCAGCATTGGAGACTGAGATCTTCCAGTACATTGATCTGCATCAAAGTGATTTCATTAAGGTAAGAACTATATTGCAGGGAAGTGGCTGGAGGGCAGCAGTAATGTCCCGGAGACCCGTGCTCCACATGCCAGATGAGCATTTGCCACTAAGGTAACAGCAGGGTTTGGTATCTGGCATCAGGTGTGCCACAAAGTAAGGTTTCAAGGGGACAGACAGTACTGGGGACACTGTATTAGGAAGCAGGAATTGCATGGACCCCCATAGACCAGGTGGCTGTAGGCATCCTCCAGGTGTGGGCACAGAAAGGCTCCACTAAGCCAAAATGCACCTGAACAGGAGAGGCAGCTCCTGCCTCTGTCTACAAGGGAGCTCTGCAGAGAAGTGACAGCATCAGGCTCTGATGATGTACTGGGGACTCTGATGAGCTGATGTGTACACTTGTAGGCACAAGAAAGATGATCCTAGCTCTTGCCAAACCTTTACCAGGTAGAAAACTACAGCTTCCACGATGTTGTTGTGACAGGATGGAAGGAAAACTGTCTTCTAATAAGAAGCTTTACATATCCACAGGCCAACCACAGATTCCTGGGTTTTAGACCGATTAGACCTCATTTAAACCTTATTGAACTGTACTTGTCCTCCTGCACAGGATCTCAAGGAATGGGTGGCTGTGGAAAGCGATTCTGTGCAACCAGTCCTGAGGAAAGAAGTTATGCGAATGATGGCGTTGGCAGCAAGCAAACTTGAAGCTTTGGGAGCCACTGTTAATTCAGTAAACCTGGGGTCACATCAGGTGCCTGTCCTTTTCTTGTATGTAAAATGTCATACCTCCACATCTATCGTGTTCTGCCTACTACTTTCAATGCTATGTATGTGCATATATCTCTTATGACTTACTGGTATTTTTGGTAGCTAGATGACAATTTATCAACAGTCCCACAGCCACACGATACCTGCTGAGTTCAGCCCCTCCTCAGACTGATTACCAGCACGCTTAGGAGACCACACGTGCAATTATGGTTGGCAAGTTATATAGCAACAGCCTGTGTCTAACAGCAAGGAATGGGTGACCTGTCGTAGGAGCAGACACCAGAGATGCATCTCTGTCTAGGGCCAAAATATTGTTTCCCTTAAAACCATTATTTTCCTTTGATTGTTGGGCAAGAAGCTGCTATACTTTGGTATTGCAACAGACCAATACAAACCCATATTATTGTGAATACAAGGGAGTATACACATTATTTACTTCTTATTTCCCACTCCTGTGAGACACCCAGCCTCTTTCAGCCAACGTGGAGATCTGTTCTGTATACCTACAAATTATAGGATTAGTTTGGAACCTCAACCTAAAAAACATTCCTAAATAGCTGCTGCTGCATCCTGCCAGGAAAACTTTATTTTGTTTTGTTATTTGAAGTTGCAGGCCTCCTGCCATCTGTCTGTTGCAAAATCAATCCCCACATGAGTTTCTGTGTGGCTTTTGACTATTTTAATGCCACAGCATATGCTTTTGTCACTATAGCACACAGTTGACTTTTACTTCCCAGCAGTAGAGAAGACAAAGTTTATTAAAGAGTGCATTTATGACAGAGCAACATTAGAACTCTGTATAGCCCTGGAAAAACCTGAACAGTTGGGGAGAAAATCTTAATTCCTCTGGGTAGGTTAGATCTGGATTCAAAATCAGATTTAAGGACCTGATCAAATTAGAGCCAACTGAGTAGGCAGAAACATTTTCAGTACTGAGAATTCCAGTTCTTTTTACAACGTTTGCAAGTTTTCAAAGGTTTTTTTTTTTTTTCCTTTGTTGCTTTTTTAATATTACTTTATAGCTCCCTGATGGCCAGCACCTCCCACTGCCGCCTGTTATTCTCGGGGAGCTTGGCAAGGATCCACAAAACCCCACTGTCTGTTTCTATGGCCACGTGGATGTGCAGCCTGCCAGAAGGGAAGATGGCTGGAAAACTGACCCTTACACATTGACCGAAATTGATGGTGTGTACCTGGTCATAGTTTTTGTGTCATTATTTGGATCTGTGACTCTGGGATCTCCAGTAGGAGGAAGTTCCTTGTACACTTAACTACAGCACGAGCTCTTCTCCCACAGAAATCTATGGGACAAATCCAGCAGCTTTACATCTTGATGTTAGTGCTGTGACTGGTGAGACTCATCACTGACTGCTTAATATTTGGTGTGGAAAAGCCACGTGAGGTTAATGTCACTTTACAGAGTGTTCATTAGAGTCCATTTCTGCCTTAAGGTTCTTGTTGTGTTGTTGGATCAATCATTGTCCTTCCTCACCCTTTCTGTTCTTGCTTCATAATCCTTTAGCACCTCCACCCACCACACTGGAGCTTAGGAGCGTTTGGGTGGGAGATGGTCAGGCCCTTCTTCATGTAGCAACCTTTTCCCTGCAATCAGCAGAGCGTGGAAAGCTCCTTTCATCAAAGGAATACAGATGTGGGATGGTAGGTTAGAGGATGAGTAAGCCCAAGAGCCCAGAGATCCTGGTTCCCAGTACCATAACCATTAAGTGACCCTTTCCCATCTGCTGGGACTGGTTCCAAACAGCTTTATTGGGGTAACTCTTCTGCCTCCAGTGGGAATTGACATAGGTATATACTGCTGTACATGAAACCAAAATCTATTCCTGTATATAGCTGTATGGTTGAATGCTTAAAAAAAAAAAAAAAAAATGTTCTGTACCTATACCTGTAGGACCTGGCACTTAGGGACATGGTTTAGTGGGTGATATTGGTAGTAGGGTGATGGTTGGACCAGATGATCTTGAAGGTCTCTTCCAGCCTTAATGGTTTTATGATTTTATGAATCAGATCTTAAGAACAAAAGTGGAACTCCAGAAATTGGTATTAACAAGTCAGTAAAATTCTGATTGTGCTGATACCTCTCTTGACACACCTCTTTTGAAGCTTTTGCTGCACCAGGAATTTGTTGATTGCATTGAAGTGACCTGAGAAGTTTCAAAGATTGCTTGAAAACTTTAATCTTTTTTTTTTTTTTTTTTCTCTTAATAAGGAAATCTCTATGGCCGTGGATCAACAGATAATAAAGGACCAGTCTTAGCTTGGATAAATGCAGTGGAAACATTTAGAGCCTTGAAATTAGTAGGTATCAGTGAGGAATTAGTTAGTCATTACTACAGTACCTCTCTGGAGGAATGCGTTTACCTTCTTGTGACATAGATAATGCCTCTCTGTTCCAACAGACTATGTGTATTTTGAAATATCAGCTTATTTCTAATGCTATATCCAGGGCACTGTTTTCACTCCAGTACAAATACATATTTGGGTATTTTTATATTGAGTAGCCTTTATGCAATGTAGAAATAGTTTTGCTGTCATTGCCCTGCAAAGGAAAACAAACTAGGGGAAGCATTCAATTTGTATTACATACGTTATACAGTTTTTCTATTTTCTTGATAGTTTTTTAAATGGTAAAATAACATACATCAGGGAATGGTGATGAAGTCTCATCTCCACTGTTAAATTCTGTTGGTCTTTGGCCTTGGCTACCTGCAAGTTACCTTCAGTTTGTGTATGCATGAAGAAAGCACCTAAAATGATTATTCCTAGTGGGATGTTCTTTCAACAATAGATCTATGACAGAAAATGCTTTGAATGTGTGCATTAACCAAGTACAAATATATTTGCCTAGAGACTGCCATAGGTCTAAGAACCAAACTCTTGCCTAAACTCTACAATGGCCAACATAGTTATCATTAATTCAGTCTGCATGTTTAATACTTTTGTGGTAGTTTTATCCCCAATGCAAAATTAAGCCAACTCTAAGTTTGTAAGTTCAGCAGCGAACACCCTTTAGGGTGATTTTACACAACACATTTTGTTAGATTGATAAAAAACAGTTTTCTCCCTCTGGTATGACATGAGACAGACTGAGTTGCAAGTCTTGGCTTTTAAAGCCTTTGTGCAGCCTCCGGAAACCTAATGGTTTTCTTTCATCAGTAGGACTGAATCTACCTTGGTGCCCCTAAGTTCTAATACACAAATACATGATGTTATTTGCCTACTATTAGGTAATGATTATTATTACCTAATTATTATTATAAATTAGCTATTATCAATTTATACATCTGTCTTTCTGCATTTTTCATTTTTTTCAAATCACTAATAGCTATTTTGTCATTTTTTACAAGCAAACGAAAAGAAATATTTGTCATTTAGGGGTCTTCCCTTAGAAAACAGCACAGACCATCTTGCAATATACATTAATTGTTTGTTTCTAAATTTTCTGGGGCCATTTGACAAACCATCAGTGAACCCATCCATAGCACAAGTTCATTTAAACTCTAGACATTTGTTTCTGGGTTTAATCTGAGAATTGAATTAAAACAGAAAGCATCCTAAAGCCTGCAATGAGAAAATGAGTTGGAATGGAAACTAAGCTCAAATTTATTTCTCCTATGGGACAGGTCAGCATTTCCAACTCTCACTGTTCCACAATTTTTCACTTTGTTACTCTTGGAAATGCATCCTTATGAGCTATCAGGCCTACAGATTCAAGAACAACTATCAGGGAATCACCAGCAGCATTTTTATCATCAGATGACTACCCCTGGTGAGGGGTAACATGTGGGGAAAACAACAGCAGTGGACCTTTGCCAGTGTTTCCCACATGGGCTCTAGTAGTGGGAATACAAGAGGCTGGGAATATTCTGTGAAAATGCCATTGCCATTACGCAGATTTTCCAAAGCAATTAAAGTATTTAATAGTACCAAAGAGAAACCCCATGACAGACTAACAAGTTTTCTGGAAACAGAAGTTAAAGGGTATTTGCTTTTACATTATTCTTTAAAAAAAAAAAAAAAAAAAAAAGTAGAGAAAAACAAACCTTGATGGGAAACTGTATGTGTGTATCTATCAATGCCCCTTCTATTGAAACAAGATGTATATCCTATGTCTCTCTTTTCCTAATATATTGCATACTGCAAGTCAGTCTGGTTTTTCTTTTTAAATATTCCTTTTTAATTTTGAAAGTGCTTGTTCCTTATCCAGACTTCTCTGCTGTTCATTCAGGCTATACCAGTAAACTTCAAGTTTATAATTGAAGGTATGGAAGAAGCAGGGTCTTTGGGGCTAGAGAAGCTACTTGAAGAAGAGAAACAGTGCTTTTTCTCAGATGTTGATTTCATTGTGATTTCGGACAACCTCTGGCTCAGCAAGAAGAAGCCTGCCCTCACATACGGGACTCGGGGCAACGCCTGCTTCTTTGTGGAGGTAAGAGACATGGGTTTGTGTGAGCTGGCAAGGCCTCTGACCAGTGAGCAGTGATGCTCCTGTGATCACATCTGTCTCTATATGCAGAGAAAGGCTGACAGCAAGCGGAATGTTTACAAATGCAAGTCTTCTGTGCTCTTCCTTGCTTATGCAGATTTCCCTTCTTATTTCAGTGAGAAGCCTTATTTGCTTTCATTAAGTTCTCTTCAATCATCATTTCTCCACTTTAGGAGAAATCTCCACTCTCTCCTCTCGCTCTCTTTCCTACCCAATTACTCTCCTGCCCCTCTCCCTCATCACCCCTTCCTCACATCAACTCCATTCTCCTGCACCATTGTCCCTACCCCACTCCAACACTATTTCTTCTGCTGTTCTTGCCCCTCTGCAGCAGATACTGCTTAGTGCAACATCTCTGCCTAGAGGCACTCAATTTAGTTGGATCTCTGGGTTTAAAAGCTGTGCAAAACTTTCCTAACCATTGGCAGAAGCAAGTAACAGTGCACTGCAGTGTATTTAGCAGCCAAAATGAGCTATTGTGAAATGAAGTTTGTCATCTGGAAAACTTAAAGCATAAAAGAAATTCAGAGAGATTAAAAAAGGAAAGGACCTAAAGGAAAAATCTACATTAACCTTTATGTCTGAAAATGAACGAAATTTGTTTTTAACCAAAGCAACCTCTGCAGCCTTGATTCAATTTGTCTAAGTCTAGATTATGATAAATTATGATATTAAATCATCAGAAATGGTCTCTGCCTGCTACCAGACAGTTGGGTTTAATGAGGTTTAGGGAAGAATAAACAAGTTTGTTGCACAAATATAGTTTAAGATAAACCTGAGAATGAAAATGTGTCTGGAAAAACAACCCATTTAATAAAGCAAATGCCTTTTCTGTTCTAAGGCTGTTTGATTTGAGATGCTTCTAAATTCTTATTTGTTGCAATCTGGAATTAAGGTTGGACATATATTTTCTTAATGTGAAACAAGTAAGGTTCTTTCTTGCTTTGGTTATGAAGATTTTTGCATTTATTCTGCAATGTTAGAAACAGTAATATGCAGGTGTTACACTTATGATGTACTTAATCTTACTGAAGCAAAAGAAGGAATGGAGAGAGATCCTTGCTTTCAAGTGCCTGTAAGTAGTACAGACAGCCGAGTTTCTCTCTCCAGTGGTTAACAACAAAGCCCTCTTCTCTTTACCAGGAGCAGATTGTTCCTGACATGATGTTTCCTATTCCATTAATAGGAACTCATAATAGCTTTCCATTTATTTGTGGCCTCGTTTAAAAAAGCAAAGCTGCCAGTCCCTGTGGAAAACAAATACCTGCGGAAGAATGAGGTAGGGACTATTTACATCTGAGCCATGTTTTTGGCACAGGTTGAAGGTGGTGACAAGGACCTTCACTCTGGAACTTTTGGAGGCATCATTCACGAGCCGCTGATGGACCTGGTAGCTCTGCTGGGTAATAACATTGCATCATTGTTCAGGAGTAGCTGGGGAATGACTAGCAATCAGCCTAATGAAGATCAGTGCCATATTTAATTGATTCGAGTTAAGTCAAGTCTAACTGAAGCACGATTTCCAGGTTTCCAAATCTCAGCACAGCTATGCTGACAGCAGTGGACGAAGGCAATGTCCCTGGTAAGACCAGATGTGCAGTTGAGCTGTTTTCAGTCTAATACTCAGATGTTCATCGAGGATGTTTAAGGATTACCCACATACATGGGTAGTGAAACTCAACGTTTTAATGCAGATTTGTATCCTGGTAGGATGATGTTCTTATGTTGACCCACTACAAACAGCAGCTCAGTGCTTTTCTTACTAAACATGAAAATACATCAAGTCAGGTGTGGCAACCTGATGGCTGCCTACAGTTGTTACTAGTTAGTTGTTAGGGTTACTCATTTGGCTAACTCAAAAGAGTTAGGTAGAAGGGAAAAGGTGTAGTGATTGCCAAGCAGAAGAAATGGGTCCTACTTTTAATGATACCTTTGTCTTCCTTCATAGACAGCCTTGTGGATCCCACGGGTCATATTCAGATCCCTGGAATCTATGACAGTGTCGCTGCCCTGACAGAGGAGGAGAGGAAATTGTATGAATCCATTGAATATGATATAGAAGAACACAAGAATAATAGTGGAGTGAAAAAATTCCTCTACAGTAGCAAGGTAAAATAAGAATATATAGGTGTGCATATATTTATATGTAGACAGATATAGGTAAAGTAATGTATTAGAAGGACAGCAGAAAGAATTTAAATCACCCCTTCATAGCATTTATGGACAAAGCCAGACTGAAAGATATTTTCAATCAATGGCCAAAAAAAAAAAAAAGAGAGAGAGAGCACAGAGCATTAAAAGGTAAATAAAATTAATGTGCTGAAAATGTAAGTTACCACATATGGGCAAGTTGATCCAAAATATGAATAATAAATGAGCAAGTTAAAGAGTTTGGCTCCCCCTCTCTCATACTGCAGATCCTCTCCCACCATACCCTGGCTAACCAACCAAAGATAGTCAGCATTGAAAACCCTGCATACTGGTTACGGAGTAGGAAAGAACCTATATTCAGCTCTGAAAAATGGGAGGCAGCTTTAGGCTGGTGTGTTTTGAGGTGGTTTTTATTCGTTAATTTTGTTTATTGATCTTGGTGTCTGTTGAGCATGCCAAAAACCACCCAAAGCTATAAGCCTCTCTTTGCCAGAATTTAAAAATTATTTCCTAAATAAAAAACAGCAGGTGAGGGCTGACTTAGAAAAATCTCCTTGCACAAGGCTTGCAGCTGGGAGAAAGGGAGGGGTGATTCATTTTTTTATTACTAACATAACTATAATGGTATTAGTTCTAATGTGAATGCTTTTATTTCCATGAAGAAGCTTCTGAATTGGCCTAAACTAGACTGTAATAATTAATAATGTACAAGAATAATGTAACAGTAAAGAGTTTTGATGCTTTACCCATATGTGGGTGAAGTGGTGAAAATTTTTTGTGTACTTAAAGCTCCAATGTCATAAAAATGGAGTACAAATAAAGGAGTAGTGCTCTGGGGTTCTGCACACATACCAGCTTATAAAAAGCTTTTTTTTTTTTTTTTTTTTTTTAAAAAAAAAAAAAAGTGTCCTCTTACTGTCTCTCCTTCTTTAGAATAAGTAGTTTCATTTTTATTTATTTTTATCCTTCTTACCTTCTCCAGGAAAAAAAAAAAAAGCATAAACTTGAATATTATCCCCTTACTTCTTGTAGTATTTAAGTGCTCGTTAGAAGGATTTCTCACCTGGTATCAACTGAATGGGGTCTGCCTAAACTGGTTGCAGGTTTCTCCTTGTAGAAATCCTGAGATCCGTAGGTGGTAGAGCAGAAGTTGTTCTGCTCTCACTTGGCACTACAAAAATCACTGCTGTGATATTTTTAATAGTGCTCCACATTTCTTGTCGTGCATGAAAAGCTGTTCTCAATCTAAACGTTTCTACAGAGAAACAAATGTTGACTGAAAGGAGCAGTATTTCTTAAAATTAAAAAGATAGCACTAGTTTGAATTACAAATCAAATATCTTTAAAGTACAGAGGTCTCCAAGTATAACGTGGATGGAAAATGTTTTGTGTCTTCGCATTGTTTCTATCAATTGTGAATGGTTCTAGTGTCACCCTTTTCCCCTCTTCTATTTTTTTTTTTTTGAAGGAAGAGATACTCCTGCACCTGTGGTGTTATCCTTCACTCTCTATTCATGGGATTGAAGGAGCTTTTCATGAACCAGGAATTAAAACAGTCATTCCAGCAAAAGTCATAGGGAAATTTTCAATTCGCCAAGTCCCCTACATGGACCTTTCAGTTGTGAAACAACAGGTAAGAAGCCAAAGCCAGGTTCTTTCTACTGTGTGAACCAAAGTCCCTCTTAGCACCTCACAACTTCACAACCCCAGTAGTAAACTGGGTGTTTCTAGCATTTAGCTGTTTGTAAGAGCAATTTCAAGAAGATGAAAGCATCTAACTGGAAGGTGTTTGCCCTGTAGGTGGAGGAGCACTTGAAGAATGTGTTTTCCAAGAGGAACAGTCCAAACAAACTCAAAGTGTCTATGCCACTGGGTGCGAAGCCCTGGGTTGCTGACGTTAATGATCCACTATATAAAGCAGCAAGAAGGGCAATAAAAACAGGTACACATCTTCTTTTTTAGTTTTTAATGTGTCTGCAAGTCTGCAGGAGAACTGTGCTCATCCACAAAGAAAAAAAAGGGATTTCCCAATTCAGTGTTATGGTCACTTGCCCTTACGTATCTCATTGATTTTGACAGAACAGCTCAGCCTCCACATCTTGCTGAGCTGGGGTCTATTTAACAGGAGTAGCCAAAAAAAAACTTGTTTAGCTCTTTCATGTACAGTTACAAAGCCAGAGGTTTGTAGGGTGCAACTGATTCATGACATCATTTAGATAGAGTTTCCTACTCAGAAGCTCTTCGTGATCGAGCAGACTGCAGATATTTGGTAACAGAAGAAAGCATCTTTTGTTTCACTTATGAATGAACCAATTCTTTGCATGTATTTCAGTTTTTGGAGAAGATCCAGATTTTATTCGGGATGGTTCAACAATTCCTATTGCCAGACTGTTTCAGAGCATAACGCAGAAAAGGGTGATAATGTTTCCGATTGGAGCGGCCGATGCTGGGGAGCACTCCCAAAATGAGAAAATAAGCAGGTTCCTTTTATTCATTCGTTTGTGCTATAAGAGAAGGGGGGGAGAACTGAAGTCTTCTGGTGCTCACACATAACCACTGACAGATGGGAACCTTTGCTTTCCAGTGGACGGTCCCAAGCTACTGTCTCCAGCAAACCTGGTGTGTTGCCGTGCAGAAAGCAGAATTCCAAATTTATCACATACTGACATGTGTTTTTCATGAAATGTCTACTCCATCTTGAAGTACATACAGTGGCGGTTTTCATTGCCATGCCAGTGAAATTTTCCTCTGGTTGAAATATGATGAAATATGGGCACCTTTCCGCACAGCATCCATTCTGAATGATGCAGTCAGAGGTACTCAGGCTGATGGTTAAGTGTAGTTATATCGCAGCGAGCCAAACTAGTGTAACTATATCAAAATTAGAGTGCTGCCCTTGCAGTTTCTGAGTTGGGTTGTGCCAAGCTCATCCTAAAATTAATTCTCAGGTGATTTTTTTTTTCCCCTCGGTATAGCCCCAACACTGTTGGTTACAGATGACAGTAATCAGCATACTTTTCACTGAGACAGTTTTCTCTGAGAATCCTGCAGAGGAATCCTGCAGAGGAGTGCCAGTTGCAGGGCATCCAGAATTTCAGTGCACTTTGTCCTTTTTTCAGGAAACTGTTTCATCCTTCTGTTCTTTGCAATGTAAATGAGTGAGAGCAAACCACACCTGCACTCTTCATGTAGAAGAGTAAAATGAAGTCACCTCTGCCCATTTATTTTGGCTGTGACAGTTATGATCTTGACTCTGAGAAACTTGCCATCACTGCAGGCATGAATGGGGAGCTAGAACATAGCACTTTTTTCCTCAGAAAGATGTTTTTCCTCTTACCCTTCTCCTGAATTAGAGTAAGTCATGACACAGAACAGTAGTAAAGACCTGACAAAGTGATTTCCCATGCTAAACTCACCGCTAATAAATCGGTGTTTTTTATTAGGATCTTTTGTCAATTCTTCGTGGTGGCCGGTCTCTCAGACTCCTTTGAATATACTTAAACCTTTGGCTAGTCTACTAACTGAACAGCAGACTGGCCTGACAGGATGTCATTCTCGTCTTTCTTTCTTAACAGACACAACTACATTGAAGGAACCAAAGTGTTCGCAGCCTTTTTCCTGGAGATATCAAAGCTACGTGGGCAGTTACATGAAACTTCCAGCCCAGAGACTAACAACTGATAGACCATCATCACAAAATTAGCAAAGCATGTGCTTTTTTTATTATTATTATTTTTATTTTATTTTTTTCAGTTTTAGGCTTACTAATTTCCTGGTCTGGAAAAACATGTAAATCACGTTCTATGTGTTGTATTTGTGGAAAAAAATAAATGCTGTGCATAATACATACTCCTTAATGTCACTTTCTTTACAACAAAAAATGTAAATGTGTTTTGGCCAAAATCTGCCATCAGAAGGGTGTTTTTCCATCAAACTAGAAACTATTAGTTGCTTTTAAATTATCAGTTTCTGTTGTTAAATCAAATGTATGTGATGTATCTTGAAATTACAACAAAGCTCCAAAGTTCTGTTTGCTGATTAGGGAAAACATTTAGCAAATATTACACAATTCACATCAATATTTATTTCAATTTCAAAACGTGATTTTCATTTTGATATGCATTTAATTCACACACAACAAAAATGACAACCGGATTTAAACAAAAGCTCATTGGTGTTATCTCCACTGTTAACACAAGGGGCGTTAATTAAGGAATTTGGCTGGTATTTTTCCTTCCTCTCCTGCTCCATCTCTTGAAAAATAAGCAAGAATAAAGGTGTTTAAGGGCATGAAGTGTGGATGTGGAACCTTCAGAGTAGGATACCATGCCATAAATAACCTGTAAACTCTGCTGATGTGGAAAATTATCAGGCGAAAAGCCTTGGCTGGATTTGAAAACACAACCAAAAAACAAGCTTGTTTTTCAGTCACTCCCCTGAAATTCCTGGGAGCTGGACCTACATGCGGCTGGTATTCTGAGAGGTTTGGGAACAGGCATGATCAGGGATGGTTAGGTTTCACACTGGGTTCTCAATAAACCCCATGTTCAGACTTCCCCAGGGCTGTGAGGAGCCCCACAAGCTGATGAGAACCGAGCATGTACACCGGCTGCTAAAGGCATTCGAGGGAAAGAGAAGGGCCCAGCACAGGGTCTCTTGCTTGTGTTGGCTCCATTTACCACACAACTGAAGTGCAACTTGTGGTGCCCACGCCTAGAGGCCTACATGAGAAGACCAGGACTGAAAAACACAGCAATCCTAAAACAATTTAGGGTGGGATTGTGCCATATGTAGTTTCTTCTGCTGCTATTTATTTGGAACATCAAATAAAGTGCAATCAACAAGGATGGCATCACTTCATGTGCACAAACGCTGTCAGAGCAGCACACTGAAATAAGGTTCAGATCTGAAATAGCCACTTACCATCAAGATAAAACAGTATGTATGAAACACTGGGACCAATGAATTATGCAGAACATCTTTCAGTCCCAAAAGAGAGAAATAGCAGAAAACTTTGATTTCAGGTTTTCCAGGCCATAAAAGAGAGCATTGTGAGAGCCATTCCCTCCCACAGGGGTTTCCAGAACTACTCTTTTTCCCTCTCAAATCAGGAGTGCATCCACCAGCCATTCTGGCTTTTCTTTTTTTACTGTTGTGCAGCATTTCATCAGTCTTCAGGGAAAAAAAAAATATGGTGTGCATTTCTCTAAAGTCTGTACCATTATCTGCCACTTCTATCATATTGATTCAGGGTTGAATGAGGGCTGTTGGCTTTGGCCTGTGTATGTGCAAAACTACAAAAGCCAGTATCTTTATTAGTACAGCGTATATGAAGTCACAGAAAAGGGACACCAAAAAGAGGTGACATCTCACAGTAAATTGGACAGGTTAAATTTTATTCTAGATTCTTTTTTTACAATGTTGTAAAGCTCTAGTATTAATCTGTGTTTACTTTGGGTTACCACAGTGAAACCTCAGTACTGTTTGTTTCATATTCTGAACAACAGTATTAAGAGGACATTTTGCTGATTAAACCTACCCAGACAGGAACAAAACAACTTTGTGGGCATGTCCAACAGCAGCATCCAAGACTTGGACGCCTAACTGCCACCGGGGATGTCCTGCAGAGATATGCCTGAAGGATGGCAGGCACAGCTCAAGCCCTGTGTGAACATGGCCAGTGGAGGGGCAACCTCTAATGGCACCAGGTACCTCTACACGGAGGGTCAAGGTCTACCTGTCTCCCTGGTATGTTGCCTTGGGTCTTCCCTCATAGCCTGCACAGGTAAGATGTGTTTGAGGGAATCGGGTGATCAACGATGGGATTATATTTTCCAACTGATTATTATTTTAAAAGAAGAAATTGGAACACTTTAATGTTCATTTAAAATCAGTGGGCTAAATTTCAAGTTAAGTGTTAAAGTTGCTTTTTTTTTTTTTTTTTAGATTAGAAAAACAGTTTAGTCTTTACATAATGTCTCAAAAGGCAAGACTAAAAAAAATGTGGCAGTCAGCTAAAATCATAGAGAACGAGTGAAATAATAGGATGCTGACAATAGGAGCTGAAGGCATAGAGAGATGAGCAGCCTCCTGAGATGCAGAACTAATCAGGTCACCATCTGCTCTGAAAGTGGAAGATTAGGCACACTCATGTAGCTATGGTGTTATTTTTTCAAGAAACATTACTCCCAAGAAGCTTGACTTTGACTCCCGCCAGTCATTCCTCTCAGAATACACCATTTAGCTTGCTTGACAACAGGTTACAAAGTGCCTTGCTAGTTAAGGGTGGCCATAGTCCATGTTTGGACAGGGAAGATTGAGCACCTGCCCCTTTATTGGTGCCACAAGGAGACCGTGCCACAGCACCCAGTGCTGGCGAGGAGCCACAGTCCCCTGGTTCCTGCTGTGAGCTTCCACCTGCAAGGAAGGTGTGCAGTTAAAACACTGATCCACAAAATGCAGTTCTGAGCACAATCTCCTTGTTTTAGTCTCCCTGTCTCATGGGGAGCATGGGGAGATGGCTTGGTGCACCACAGCAGCAGCACACTGCTAGCTTTCGGTTGAAAGAAATAGGATTTTGCTTAGGATAAACTTAGCCAGACCTCTCAAAGCTTAAATATTAATAAATTTACCACCACACCTGGGATACTGTAACATTAAGTTACAGAAAAATACAACATGAAATTAAAATTGGCTTGCTAACAGTGCACGTGTTGTGGTGTACTTTTTTTTTTTCCCCCCAGATTTTTTTCAGTTGAGGTATGGGCTTGAATCTTTCTCAAGGTGTTTAGAAGTTACTTGGTTATTTCCACAGGTTTCTAACAATGTAAATGAAAGAGCCATTGAATGTAGGGGGCCCTCAAAACCTGCCTGAGGATCAGTGGTCCTGCAAAATCCTTCCTCCAGATCCTGCAGCCCATGTGGAATGAGCTGCTTGCGATGGGGGATTATGGAGGCAGTTCCTAGGCACTGTAGCTACTCTTGCTCAGCTTTAAAACATGCAAATACTTTCTGAAAACGTGCTTATGTTTTATTGTATAATTTCCCCCAGGTTCCTTGTGTGAAACTTGTCATGTTCACTTACTCCTCAAGGCAGAAACAACAGCTGTAGTTGGTCGTGGAATAAAATCAAACAGGTGCATGAAATTGTTTGCAGAGCTTAACTAGGCATTGAGCTTGGATTCTGCTTGCTAAGAAACTTTACCCTTGGGAGAGGAAAACAACAACAGAACTTTGCTTAAACTTCAAAGTACATGCTGCACAAGGTACATCTTTTTCAGCAACTGAAAAATGGTCGTGGTCCTTAACTGACAAACATTTGAGAGTTTTGTAGTATGCAGAAGTATATTTAATTGTCTGTGCTTATACAGAGTTGTTTTATATGACTGTTTATTAGCATTTATTTTGTGGTATTGACTGCTGGGATATTGAGTAGACAGCCAGTTGTCTGCTGTTCTAGATAAGCACATACCATACAAATCACTGTTTCGTACATCTCACACCACTTCTCAGCTGTACTGCAAGTGGCTTCAGAGGAACATAACTCAGGGTTACTCAGTATCTGACTGAAGGGACATGCCCGACTCCTCAGGTGAAGACATCTCTCCGTGGCTGCTGTGTTGCAGGCTTCAGAGTTTTTTTGTGCAACCATTTGCAGGATCAGCACTTTAAAGATAAATATACTCTACTGGTAACTTCTAAAAACATCAGTCCAAGCTTAATAACATCATAATTTTGCTAGAGAACCAAAATATGAAAAGTACATGTTAATACTGTCATTCTTTTGTAATAGAGAAAGGGTCATTAGCTACAACGATGTCTTCAGTTATCCAAATATAAAAGCAGAAAAAATAAGTGTAAAGCCTGTAAAAATCCAGCTTCATTTCTTTCTAGCATACAAACTGTGTTCCTCACGTTTGGAAAAATGTTGTTTCATTTCTTCAATCTGAGCAGGAAGCCTGTAATGTTCCTTGCAGGAGGCCCCAAGGATGCTTCTCGTGGGCCACATGAAAGGATCTGCAGATAAGGCCACTCTCTTCTGTTAGAATTTGTGAACCTAAGTATTTCCCTTAGGATAAGGGGGAAGGGTCTTTGAGCATTATCTTCTTGTTCTCTTTTTTCCAAATTCTAATAACTGCAACATGAAAACTTGCTATAAACAAGATTTGTTTTTCATTGAAAAAGCATTCTTGAAACTGCTGAAAATTTTCCTTTTCCAAGGTTGTGTGAAATTACAGGAAATTCAGACTGATCACCTCTGAATACTAATTAAAGCCTGCATGCCTTAATCTCTTGTTTTTCTCTGTACCATTTATATAGCAGTTAAAACATCAGAAAAGGGTGGAGAAAGCACATGATTTTAATCACATTTTACTTGTTGACATCAGGTTCTCTACGTTAAAACAGAGAAGTTTAACAAAAGGCATAAAAGCAGCAGGTGTGCACTTTGGTCCCATGAAAATGGATAACCATTTGTACTTCAGGTGTACTTAGTTAGCACAAGTGGGCCGTGAACCTACAGGAGGATAGAAGGACATGGGTAAGAAGATGCAGCCCTTAATGAAGGTGTGATCATGTGTCCCCGAAGCAGCTTAAGCTGGCTGGCACCTTGTGAGGCATCTCAGTGCCAGGCTCGGGGTGCAGGCTCAATCCCTCCTTTCACACATGCGGCAGGAGGGACTGAAATGCCTGCCCCAATATGTCTGCAGCGGCAGCCCCACGGCAGTTTCAGACAGACCCATACCCGCATCAGGGTTGCCACGATGGAGTCAGCATCCAAGTACCTTGAAAAACCTAAGCACAGTGTTTTATTTTCCTAGGCCTATCTGGGAATACTTTCGTGCAACACA